GTGGGGATTGGTTCCGTTAACGATGTCCCAAGAGCGACATCGTCTTATGCTCAGCAACGGGACAATGAGACTACTCAGCTGCGTTCGGAGTTGAAAGCGACGCTATTGATTTGAGCACGACACAAGCTCAAATGAATTCTCTCGAAGGTTTTCTAGACATTTTGGCGGTTGTAAATCCGCAGTTGGAGATGATGTTGCGTGCCAGACGGGAACAACTAGGGATTCCACATCCACAGGCACAGCCGCCTCCACAGCCACAGCCAAGCCGCAAGGAGGAGGACGACGAGGAGATAGAGAGGAGTGAAGACTTCACCCGGAAATTTCACGAGCAACACCCCTAGTTTGTTTTTCTTTTTATTGTATTATAAGTTTAAAGCTTAAGTATTTACGCATACATATTTTATTTTTCTTCTATTATTTGAATTTTAAATTTATTTTTAAAAAAATAATTTATTTATATATTTTGATTATTACTTTTAGTATAGTAAAAAAAGGTTTCGAACCCGTAAATTTACAGGAATTTACTAGGATATTCACGGAGATTCCTCGTAAATTTACGAGTCTTTAATAATAATATAGCGTGTAATTTACGAGGAATGTTTTACGTTGCCTCTACGAGGATTTGATGAGGATTTATTTGCGTGGCTTTAACGAGGAATATCTTCGAGGGTTTTACAAGGAAGAGTTTACATGATTTTAACGAGGAAAGGATTGTGAGGTCTTTACGAGGAAGTACTGTAGATGATTTTATGAGGAAAAGTTTCCTCGTAAATTTACGAGGAAAACTTGTGGAAAGTCACGTTACGATGAACATATCACGACCATTTACGTTTCCTCGTTATTTTCATTGTAAGCCCTCTTTTACGAGGAAATAACGAGGAATAGCCGTTTTACCTATATTTATGTTTCTTTTGTAGTGTTTCTGTTTTCTTGGAGTTGATTCACGCTTGTCAATAACATATATATCATTTGAGGATGGTGACATGCAGTTATGTTAGGCAGTTGGTATATGGACTGACATGTCATTTTCACTCTATCTAACACCACTAAACAATTCTGATATTTTGGGACTTTTTCATGTTCTGTTCTCTTGCATGGCTTATTTGATAATTAGTTGTCATTTAATTGATAAGAGAAAGGCACAAGATTACATTTGATCTAACCAGTTTTGGAAACTAGATTTGGAACCATCCAATAATAATAAAAAAACGGTTGCTTATTTTGTTGATTCATTATAAAAATAGATGATTGGTTGAATTTTTGTAGAATTTTCGTGGCTGTAAAGGTAATAAATTTAGGAAATATATCTTTTGTATATAAAGGACATATTATATTTTAAACAAATAGTTTCAAAAAAATTTCTGATGTTTGGCCCAGTCTTTAGATTTTATTATTTTCTTAAAACTATTTAATTTAACTAAACATAAAAATAAGATAAAAGAAATAATTTTTTTAATTTAAAATTTAGATTTAAGAATAGATATGTATATATTTAAAATATAGTTTTGGCTAAATTTGTTATCTAATTATTTTTGGTTAATATATATTTAATCAAATTGTATAAATTAAGAAAAAAGATTCTTGATTTTTTTTTTTTAAACTGCACATAACTTTGAAGAATTTTTTTGATAAAAATAAACTATATAAATATCAAGAAGAATAAGTAATATATTTAAAATTTTCTAAAATATTTAACGTTATATTTAAATATATTTCATTAAGTGATAATATATGAGTTATTAACATATTCTAAAAATCATACCAAAAATATAATTTAACATTAAGTACAAATCTTCTTGTCACATTTATTCTTAAACTATGTCATAATTGTTAGTATGTTATGTCATTTTCTTAAGTGAAAGTGTTTGTAGAAAATATACTTATTTACGTAGCCACTCAAATTGGAGATGTTTCAAAAGTTTAGAAAGATGCTGGGAGTATGTGATGAACGGGAGCTAAACTAGTATGCTGTCTAGTTTAAGGGAGGGAAATAATGATAAGTATTAGTCTTTGTTGTCCTATCTTATTTTTTAGGTACTTAGTTATTTGTTTCAGTCAAATGCAGTCACTACTTTAGACTACCTTTACCACTTTCTAGAGTAGTTAGTTGTTCTGTTTCACGTTCTTTTATGGTTTTCCTATAAGGCTATATATAAGCCATTTCCTTTTTCTAATGAATTAAATCAGTTTCCAGTATTAGATAATATAAGTACAACATAGCGATGGTACTAACCTATCATTCATTCCTGGGCGTTGGTGTTTTAACATAGATCGTGGAAAGATAATAAAGATTACTTCGGTCAAGGTAAGGTATAGTACGTTAGAAGGATTTTTTGGACTGATGGGGATAAGAAACGTCAAGATTAGTCTCTCGTCTCTTCATGCTGAGATAGAAGCACTAATTTAGGCGATAGAGTGTACGAAGAATTTGCGTCAGGGTCAGGTAACATTTGCAAATGATTGTTCCCAATTGGTGATGATGGTTTCCGAACCAGATTAATGAACATCATTTGCAGCTTATTTGGAAGATATCAAAACACTAAAGGAGAGCTTCCTCAACTCAGAAATTATCTATATCTCAAGAACAAACAGTTTACGAACGAATAATCTAGCACGCAGTGCCAGGAAAAAAACTGTCTTTTGTCGTTCACATGGATGCAGAGTTACCGGTATGATTTAAGGAGTCTATTTGAGTCTATTTATGTTGATGACAAAAAAAAATAACTATACTTTCTAAAATATCATTTAACCTAATTATGACAATCCTCTATATATTATTTGTGAAGTGATTTGCCACATTTTCTCTCTGCAATCACTTTTACAAAAGAAAAAATGATGACATGACTACTAAGATTGATGACATAGCTTATAGTTAAATATGACTTAGACAATTACATTTATCTCATATATATTATTTGCAAAGTGGTTTGTCATATGTCCTCTCTACAATAATGTTTACAAAAAAATGATTACATTACTACTACGATTTATGACATGACTTATACTTAAATATGACATGGACAATTATATTTATTGCTGATATATATATTTTTGGTAAACTTTATAGAATATGACAATAACTGATACATTACATTTAATGTTGATTTATATTTTTGGTAAACTTCTTAAAATATGGTAATACCTCATAAATTAAATTATCACTAAAAATAAATACAGTAGAACTTTTATAAATTAATACTCGATAAATTAATAATCTCTCTAAATTAATAAATTTTGCTGGTCCCAACTTGGGCCGGTTCAAAATTTGACACAAATCGATAAAATAATAAGATAATATTTTTTAGAAAGTTCTATGTAAATATATTGTCCCATTAAAATCATAAATTACTAATTTATATTTATACATATTTTATATAAATAATAATCTATTATTATATTGTTTGCTTCATATTTATAAGGAAATTCTTTTTATATTTTCTTGACACTTAATAAATTGTTGATGAGATTTAGTACTATTATATCTAAAACCATATTTAAAATCTCTGAAATATATATTATATACACCAAGTAATATGAGAAATTTAATATAAATGTCAAATTTCAAAAAATGATAATTATATCTATACACTAAAATACAATATTTTTCTTATTTTAGAATAAATATATCTTAAAATGAAAAAATCTAAATAAGGAAACTTTAGTAAATTAATATCTCTATAAATTAATAAAATTTCAAAGTCCAAACATTATTAATTTATAGAGGTTTAACTGTATGGAAATATGCATTATAATTTTTGAAATGTTATTTAGTTTTAATTTTATAAGTATACAATTTTATTACTAATATTTTCAAATTTCTACATCTTTTTAAAATATTAAAAAGTTATAATCGTAATAGCATTAGTTTCTTTTAGATAGTGAATTGTTTTTATAAATATTATCTACTTATAATTTTTAACAACTATACAATTTTATATGAATTTTCTTAGTAATTTTATACAAGTTGATTTAATATATTTAGCCAAAATAAATAGATAAAACAATTTTTTAAGATTCGAATTTTAAATGCAATGCATAGATATTATTATAATACAATTTTAAATAAACATATTTATTTTTCTTAATTTTGTGGTTAATTAAATCAAATTTATATTAAATATTCGTCAAAATAATAAAATATATAATATTAATTGTCCAAATTTTCAAAATTGTTAACTAAATATTAGTCAAAATAATAAAATATATAATATTATTTGTTCTTATTTTTGTGCATGAAAACATCTAGTATATTTTAAAAATTGTCAACTAACGTAACAACTATATATTCTACAACCCTTTATTCACCTAAATATCTACCTAACTAATCTGTGATTGTTACCAATTAAGGGTTTGACTGGAACAAACTATAGTTTTATATATTTTGCTGTAAAACTTATGTTATAGATATTTTTGATGTATCTATACAAATTTTTGATGTAAGACTTTGGACGTAAATTTAGAAATATTTAATTATTTAATTGTTAATTTTCAAAAATCAAGTAAAATTTCTAAAGCTTAGATATAAGTGCCCTAGGTATTTTGTTTTTTAAAGTCAAAAGGAAATAAGTGGTCGTCGTATTGACAACGTCGACTTGAAAGATGAGGGTTCGTAATTACCAGGTAAAGGGAGCGATATGGTCACTACGCTGGGCTCTCGATTTTCTCAACCACCATTAGGAAATTGCCTCCCCACAAAGATAGAAATCTAAGTTCATAAGAGATGAATTAAAGTCTAGAAAACTTGAGAGAATTTAGAAAAACATTGAGAGAGAAACTAAGAGAGTTTTTTGTATGAAATTATATGATGATATTTCACAATGGGGGTACACACATATTTATAGTGGTGAGGATAAGGCGCTGGCATAAGCGTTTACCTCAACAAAAATGATGACATCATCGCTTACATAATTACTGCATCACATTTATTTTACATAAAACACACATAAGTAAACATATTTATTATAACATAATTAATTATAATTTAATGATCTTTTAGTGGTCTATTTCGAACTCGATGATGTATTTGTGCATCCATAATGATTGTCTGGGCATTCGTATTCTTCTTCTGGTTCTTCTAGAGTCTTCTGTGGATCGTCGTTTACTCTAATGTCAAACATTTTTCCGATCTCGTTGATATTCATGGAGTCATCAGGGAGCTCTGCATCTTGGAAGTACTCCGGTGGAAATTCTTGAGTCTGAGGTTTGTGTGTTACTGGCTTTGATTCGTAAGAAACATATTGTAGACGTTGTCTTTCCATGAAGAACTAAAAAGCTTCGTTCAGGCTCATATGGTAGTCAACTGGATAATAAGTCTAATTTGAGAGGAACGGAATAGCAAAGTTTTGTCTGGCGTTGTTAAGAAAAAAACGCATGAGTCTGAAAATCTTCAAAATGTTTGTTGTCGTTGATGCTGAAGTATGGTCATAATCCTCGTTGAAGGTCATTGTAATGGAAGAGTGTGGGTATATGTGAATCTTGCTGGTCTGATTGTTGACTTGAACAGGGAGGTGGACGAAGTAGATTGTGTGAGAGTTAAAGAAAGGGTTAAGACCTCCTTGACTTTTTAACTTCGTGAACGGAAGGCCGGTTGCTTTTGCTGATTTTCTCAAATTTCTGCTCCAGACAGATAATGGTGCAAACCATGTCGAGAATGTTGAGAGGCATTCTTTGTGTACAAGCTGAGGATCGGTGAATTGAGCATTGATGTATTGGTATAACCATGAGATATCAAAAGGTATACCTATGGTAAAAATCGAGCAGAGATACCAAAGGAAACAGAGGACTTCTTCTGGCATGTGTGCATTTTTGATTCTGCAGAGATGTGTGAACGGGTAGTCGGGATGAATTTCCATTGGCGAAACGAAATGATTGTGAACTCTGTATTTTGACAAGATGATGAACTAGTAGTGAAAAATCTTGTGGATGAAATGTCCGTGGAAGGTTTTTCTGGTGATGAGTCCATGAGCATTGTCAAGCATGTTGTCTGTCAGGTTATACGCCTGATATTCAGATTTATTTTGTCTTCATCTTGTGTGTATTCGTATGAAGATAATTGATTGTTATTTAGTGTTATTTAGTGTTTACTTTATATAATGAAATCAAAATAAATAATATTGAATTTTTTTAATATCTTCTAATTGTTCTGAATATTAATCTATTTTACTATGTGGAATGATAGATAATGGGTCACGGAACTATTGAGAGATGTGTATCAGTACGACAAATATTTCATGTCTTGAAAGATATTACATTTTACGAAAATGGCAAAAAATTGAAGGAATATCATTTAATATTTCATTAAGAACATTTCAACCAATTACTAACTATATATAATACAAACTGTTACAAATTATAACATAATACAGTATTGAAGTTTGCATGTGCTTACAAAATAATAAATCAAATGGTTACTAAAGTATTACATCGAGGGGACATGGTAACATTTAGATTTAGACGAAATGGCAAGATACTGCTATTGTAAAAGTTGTAACTGTGATGTAGTCACAAGATTTCTGAATCTTAACCTATAGAACAATATGAACTTTTATTTTGTCACGGAGACTAGAAATAAGAGCGATCTATGCAAAGGAAAATAGTAACCTAGTCTAGGCTTGGGCAATCGGGATCCCAGTCGGATTGCGATTTGGGTTCATTCAGGTTTCGGATTTTCAGGTTCATGAATTTCATCTCTATTCGGATATTATAAACTTTAGATCGGATTTAGTTTGGATTTACACTACAAGAAAACATGCAAATTCAAAGGACCAATTTTCTCGGAATTTCATCGAAATAAGTGTTTATTCCGACGAAATTCCGAGGAAAACGGTCCTCGAAAAAAAAATTTCTTCAGAATTTCGTCAGAAGTTCCGAGGGACTACCAACGACTTCCGATGGACACACAATCCAAAAAAATTCCCACGAAACTATTCCATCGGATTATTCCAGTTTTTTATTTTTTTAAAAAATATTTATATAATAATTATTTTATTTTTAAAAAATATTTATATAATAAATATAAAAACCTTTAATAAATATAGAAAAAGTTTTATAAATCCAAAAATATTTTTAATAAATATTAAAAACTTTTTCTAAATATAATTTTTTTATAAATCCAAAAATAGTTATAATAAATATAAAAATAGTTTTATAAATCCAAAATAGTTTTAATAAATATAAAAATCTTTTTATGAATATAGAAAAGTTTTATAAATCCAAAATAGTTTTAATAAATATAAAAATCTTTTGATAAATATTAAATCGATTTTATAAATACAAAATTAATAAAAAATTTATAAAAATTCTAAATCAATTCAATACAACAAATTATCACAACAAAATCACAATCCTAACTTATTACACAACAATCTACCAATCACCCTAACAAAGTTCTATCAAAACACTTTCAAAATCATCAAATCTATTCCAAAACCTAACCAAAAGAACCCAAGAGAAAGGGATAGGGTTCTTACATAGTTTATAAACGAATTTGAGAAGGAAAAGAGAGGTTTCGCCGCAGATTATCGAGAGATAAGAGAGAGAGAGCTTTGGAGGAAATTTAGAGAGAGATAGGAGAAATGAGGAAGAAGAAACAGTCGGTGAGATATATCAGAACATTCCGACGCAAAGGATTCTTCAGAATTCCGTCGGAAACCACTTAATTCGATTTTTGAAAAGAATTTGGTGGTTCTAATTTCCGGTTAAATTCAATATTTCCGAGGAATTTCCGATGAACTCTTTAATATCCAGCGAAATTTCCTCGGAATGCTTATTAATTGGTCAAAAACCGATTTTCGGGAGAAGAATATGCTTTGTTCCTCGGAATTTCCTCGGACTATTCTCAGGAAAAGGGTATATTCTCTGCATGTCTTTCTATTGGAATGAACTATTCCTCAGAATTTCTTCAGAAATTTCCGAAGAAATTCAGAGGAAAGCTTGTTTGTGGTTTCAAAACCTCGATTTCTTAGACCCTAGATATTTTCTTACACAATTTTAATCTTGTTCAATACATAGCATTCCAGATTCGTTCTATAGATGTTTATTAAAAATAAAATTTCAAAATTTCAAAATCCATTACAAGTATTGCCGTTACCGTTTGTTAAAGGGTCTAAGTTTTTCTCTTATAATGTACAAAATTCGTTTATACAATCGGAAAAAAGTTCATTAGTTGGAGACAAACAAATATTTGGATTCATAGTCAATAATTTTTTATTTAGGGCTTATTGTTATATTTTCTAACCGTAACACGGAGTTTTCAATTCAAAAATCGTTTTTGTCAGAATATTCCGAGGAATATTCCGAGGAAATGTTAACATTCCTCGAAATTTCCTCGGAAAATTATGTGGAAATTCTGAGGAATATAACCCTAAATTCTATACCCCAAATATATTTTGTTCATAATTAATTTGCGAGGGAATTTCAAGGAATGTGAACTATTTCCTCGGTAATTCGTCAGAAAATTCTAATTTTTTTTAAAAATACGTCTATACTCCGGAGGTGGTTTCCTTGGAATAACGTCGAATTATATCGACGAAATCGGACTTCCTCGGAATGCCATCGAAATTTTTCGACAAAATTCCAAGGAAACATAAAAAAAACTTTCCTCGGAATGTCGTCGGACTAGCATCGGTATATTCCGAGGAAATTCCTTTCCGTCGGAATTTCCGTTGGAATATACCATGTTTTCTTATAGTGATAGTTGGGTTCAGTTCGGATTTAGTTACATGTCCAAGATCCGGTTGAACCAAAATATTTTTGGTTTCGGATACTAATCATGTTATCGATTCTAAAAATACTAATTTCTACTTCATTAAACTCACTATATTTTCAATCATTTCAATAAGTTTGTGAATTTAGCCTCTTCAAACCATATTGTTGTCTTTCAAAATAATTTTGTGAAACTCCTCTATCAATCTTATGAGAATTTTCTTTGAACTATACGTGACAACATTAAACATATCATGATTAATGACAAACCAAAGACTTGTACGAATGAAAATTATGCATAATGAAACATAAAAAGTTAAAGTTAACAACTAACAATAAACGTCAGAAACACTATTTAAACTTAAAAAAAAAAGAAAAAACATTGTTTAAACTTCAAAGAAAATTTATTCATAACTAAACTTCACATACAATGTCAAACATAAAAACATTAATACTAACCAAATAAAATATATATTCTATCAAGTATTTGAGTCAATTATTCATGTAATAACTAATTATCATAGGTACTCAAGATTATCTTAGTGTGTTTTGGATACACGTTAGAAACTGAGATTAGATATGGTACATGTTTTTTGGGACTTTCGAAAAATTTCTAGTTCTTTCGGCTATCCATTTAAGTTCGGGTTCAGATCAATTTGGATTTTATTTTTATTAGTTCGGTTTGAATTTTTGGGTTTGGTTTATTTACCCAGCCCTAATCTAGTCTTTCTTTAACCAGCCTTGGAAAAGATACCATGACTTCTCAAAGGGATAGAACAAAGTTAGAGTTTTTAAGGATAAAAAGTAGCCCGGCCAAGCGTTTGCTGGTGACATAGCGGTTGATTTTTGTTCAATGGCACAAGAAAGATCACTACTCTTTTTCCAATAATGTAAAATTGTGGATAGTAATGACCGAGATAATATAGGCCTTTAAACAATAACAAACATCACTATTAACTTTCAATGTAGCTTCATCATCCATGCATTATAATCCATGTTAGGCCAGAAAACATTGAATTTGAGGAAGTCAATGAGTGCAACACAAAAGATGAAACACAAAGAATATATAAATGGTTCATAGTCATTTTAACAGTTTACATATTGCAAAAAAGAACAAGTAAAAAAAAGTGTCATTACAAGAGTTGAACTAGGCGATTTGTAATTAGATCAGATGTTCATCTTATCTTCCTGCAGCTGCGTATGATGAACCATAGGTTAAAGCACAATGCGGTTGGTAATGTATCAGATGTATGCAACGGTCGACGGAGTATCTTACGATGGTTTGAAGCTTCTCCGATCAGGCTTGTGAGATAGACTCTTTCACTCAAAACTTATGATTGAGTAATGCATTACAAGATGAAACCAATTATTATAAGCTCAATGAGATGTGTTAAAAAGAGAGCTCGACTTCACATATTTGTCTATTTCATAAATTTTTTTTCGTTTATTTCATAAATGATTTCTTTAAACATTTTCTTGGTTTATATCATTTTTCAGTTGCTTTTCTTCGTGATTTTTAATCTTTTTTTTTTTGTGATCCAACAATACAAACTTTGGTGGAGTTTTAGCGTCGACAATGAAATCTGCGGTAAGTACCCTACGATGTTATAAGAATTTTCTCACTAAATACCACATGGACCAGTTATTAGATTTTCAGTAAAACATACTCATTTCGTATTTAAAAATTGATGTTTTGTTTTTTTACCTTTGTATTTGAAAATTGATGTTGTAAACTTTAACTAGTGAACTTAATTTTTAAGCTAAAACATAAATCAAAATATAAAAATAGGAATGATAACACTTTATTGGAAATAGCACTAAGAATACAAGAAAAAGTAGTAGAGTAAAGTATGTAGTACTTGTTCTGCCTATCGTCGATTTTAGCACTATAGGCTTCTTCATATCCTCACCTCCTCCTACTACTCTTCTCACTAGATTCCTTGGTAACATGAAGAGAAATT